TGATAATACCATAGATTGATCTACACAATTCGATTAACAACAACGTCCTCACTTGTATAAAAAACTGGAGGTGGCTTGGTTTACATTTTCATGTCTGACTGTCAGAAGTAGACATGCGAAAATCTTGAACATAAGTTATCAAAGCTTATAAGTGCTCTTGTGGGAATTGATGGGCTCACCTGGATTCGTATTTAAGTCACTTAGATCCACAATTATTTAATTTCATTTGTATTAACAATATACAGTAATGACTTACCTATTGAAAACAATTGGAAATCAATTAGTGTACCAGTGAATTATATTCTACTTAATGTTTTCAGATTAATGTCAATAATCAATTATTGATTCTTAAACAACTATTGATTATTGATTAAATAAATAGTGTACAACTGTAAACATTTAATTAAGGAAATTGTTTTTAAAACTATATAAATCAATAAAAAAAGTTCATTCTTAACTAAGACATTTTTAAATGATTACCGTTTTAATCACTGAAAAATTCCCATTATATTAAGATACAATTATATGAACGACGAATATTCTTTTCAATTATTTTTCATCACGTCCTACAATTGTCACTTAGATGGTGGTTGGAGGTAGTCGACAGGAAACCCTGGACCCGGGTTTCGTGCTACTTAGTACTCGTCAGCAAGGCGTACCTGTAATCTTGAGGGAACTGGTGCTTCCTAGCGGATTCGATCTCGTGTCACCCGGCTTCACAGTCAGAGACGTTACCATTGATCTATCCGAGCCGTGACCGACCTCCTGTAGGACTGAGATGTAATCAAAATTGATTGCGTGTCTAGTCCTTATTGGTGCAGATCGAATGGCCACCACCCTAGGTGACTCGACACTGCGTGCACTATTGTGAGATTAGATGGTGGTTGGCCACATTGCAGCATGGTCGATAGCATTCGATTTGCACTAATAAGGACTAGACACGCAATCAATTGTGAATTATCACTTTGAGGTTGAAAGATAAATTGCTTAGACTAGCCACCTCTTTCTGTATCTACAAATTTAACTGCTCTTATGGAGCAAGTTATATTGACAGATATTCTATGAATTTGTACATTCGGGCTAGTGAGCACCTCCCAGTGTGGTTAAGCAAAGGTGTAGTCAAAAAGGGTTAACAGCTCCATTTTAACCCATTTAACTAAGACGAGATTACCGTTTTGTTGAGAAAAAAAATCAAATAAACTGACTTAAAATTCTAAAACACTAAAGTATTAACTAATCAGTTAACCTTAGAAACGTGTCAGTATTGAGAAACATGAAGTATCTAATATGATTCATCAGAGGGTATATATAAAAGACAACCAGGAAATTAAAGACGTGAAGTAGATTAATAAACCTTACTGGTATTAACCTAATAATTCTGACAGATTAATTAGTTATAAACACGATTCTCACCTACTTAACAGTTAATGAATACAAATTTGATCACAATATATCACGTAAGGTCATTCACCTATCAAAAATATGTTTCATTTTGGAGGGGGGAATGATGTGAATAATCTTTTCTTTTTTTGTGTGTTATGGACAACAGGTCTTTTCTTAAAAAAAAACAGGAGAACACTTAATCCAATTAATCAAGATGCTTATTAACATATTCAATGATAATTAGATATGTTATTACTATTACTCGTAAGGATTTATGCTTTTTCCTACTGTTGATAATTAGGACTGTAAATGATCAATCTCTATTGGTACATATTAGATCCTAAGTGAACTATTTCAATATTACCATTAGGGACAAAACTCTATAGTAAAGTTGGATTGTAATTCTCAACAGTATCCAAGATGTACTTTTCATTCTATTTGAAAATCATTACAGGTGAATATGCCTTCTTTTTGATTATTCTCACTTTTAGCTTGTACACCTAATATACTTTTTTTATCTGATTCATGTTCGTATAAAATTCACGTTCTTACATAGTTCTCACACTTCTTGTTTTTGTGATCTTCCCATAGTCTGTAATCATTATGTGTATTTTATTTAATTACATCATCACCTATAATATATGAATAACAAATATGTGTAAACATTAAACAATAGAACTAACTATCAGTTACTATCACTTACACATTGATTAAATTTTAACCCTTATATTTGACAATTTTGATACTAATCTAAAATTTGGATAACCGAAATAAATACATTCGAAAGAAATGATGTTTACCAGCAATGTTCTGTATTCATTTCTAGAATTATGTTCATATGTGTATGATTTTGTGTTGATTAATTACTTTTCCAATGATTTTTTTGTGTATGAACAACAATATGTGCGTTTATTTAAAATTCCAAATGATGGTGAAACAAGGTATTTCAAAAGTTCAGAAAGATCAGTAATTTCGTTTGGACTTTATATTGCCTTTGTTCTTACATTAACCACCTCTCACTCTATATTTATCTTTCGTCCTACCTAGTACAAAGCTAGTATGATATTATGACAATATTATTGTAGAATATTTGTGTTAATGAAAAAACAAATTAGGTTAGATGTGTTAGCTTTGATCTTGATGAAAAATGTCAAAGAATTTATCAGCCAATTAAAGCTAGACCACCATGGAAAACCTGGAAGCACTGGACGGCCGTTTCGTCCTAGTATGGGACTCCTCAGCAGTGCGCATCCACGATCCCGCACCCGGCGGGATTCGAATCCAGGACCTACTGGCTTCGCGCGCGAGCACTTAACCACTAGACCACTGAGCCAGCATCCAACGGTGTTAGTGCACTGCTGAGGAGTCCCATACTAAGACGAAACGGCCGTCCAGTGTCTCCAGGTTTTCCATGGTGGTCTAGCTTCAATTGACTCATGAGTTCAACCTGTGAAATTTCTAAAACTCTTCACAAAACCCATTCTGAATTTATCAGCATTTAAGAATATGGTGTGAGCAAAGAAGTTTGTTTATTTGCAAATGTCCGTCAAAGATTTAAAGAGTTGAATAGTGGCTAACAATGGAATCTAGATTGTATGTTTCGTCATATCTGATAGTCGTCAGATAGATATTAACTGTTAAACTGATCAATTGAAGTCGTTAACATCAAATAAGAATAAATATAAACAAACCGTACAAACAAATTTAAAATTTCATTTCATTCCATAAGTCAGTGTGCATTTGGACTCACCAGCTAAGTGGATAAGACGTTAGGCACTTAAAGTACGTGGCTTATTGAAATAGGTAGTGAGAAAGATAATGATAACTTCACAACTAAATAATCTTGCTCAAAGAATACAATACCTCCTAAGTTGACAATTCTGTTCTATCTAAATGTTGACCAACTACCTAGATAGGTTTATTCAAGTTCCATTTACATTGGAGGTGATTTCTACTTAACGAATGTTATTCTAAAATGCTTAATAGATGTTTTAATCATAAAGTAGATTTCATTCAATCAAGTGGGGTTTTCGTAATTCTCCAAAATCAATCAATCTAACAAATTCAGAGTTGTTAATCATTCTCTAACATTTAACCATTTAACTATTGTAGGGAAAAATAATTCTTTCATCTTAGCAACAACTTGTTAAACTTATGGTTTTTATTCTTATAATTTCATTCTTGTGATATTTGTGACACTATCCAAATATTATCAATGACTAAGAACTTTCGTCTAAATTTGAACGAATAGTTTCACAATATTTGGGCGCCGAGTTAAATTGAGACATTAAAAAAAAGAATATATTTGTAAAATCTCAGCGAATGAATTTTAAGTAAATCCAACGTTTCGCCTGGCAATCTGGTCCAAGCTTTTTCAATGTACAGTAAACCGAAGAACCATGTACCTATTTTTATTCGATAATTTTGTTGTTTGATTATATTTTCCTTGAAAAAGCTTGGACCAGATTGCCAGGCAAAACGTTGGATTTACTTAAAATTCATTCGCTGAGATTTTACAAATATAATCTTCTTTTTATATTAGCAATGACTGTTTTCACTCGTATCTTAAACTCTCAATCATTGATGTCAACTGCCAAGTAATTACTCTTTTGCAAACTAAGAATACACACACTTCATTTACCATTGAATACTATTTTAAATGTCAGTATCGGATTGGGGAGGTTTTTGGATTTCATTGAAATCACGAACAGATCTAAGTAACACAGTTGTTCAGTCCCCATCACCAATCATGATGTATTGCAAACAAATTAACAGCATACATACCGTACATCAGTACAACAGTGCTACAGTATCATGAGGATACAAGCTTCCATGAAAAGTGAGATTACATAACTCACCTCCACCTTATATTTACACAACAATTATTTATAAATTTACTGGAAGCACTGGACGGCCGTTTCGTCCTATTATGTGACTCCTCAGCAATGTGCACCCACGATCCCACTCTCGGAATTCGAACTCAGGACCAGATTTTCAGTGGTGGTCCAACAACGATCGGTTCATGATCTCAATCAAAAATAAATCGAATGACCGAGTAATTGTTAATTGATGACATTTGAATGTTAAAGGTCAAGTATTTAATCATCCAACCCAACTAATCAAACACACCTTGAAAATGACCTTAAAATTAATAATATAATAACTTTATTATTGTAATGATAAAAGTATTAGAATATAATTTCTAAGAGTATAAGTTTAATTATTCAAAATGAAATTACTGTTGAATTTTCAACGGTCATATGATTAAAATATATATTATCATTTATGGCGCCAGGATACCAACCCACATTTCGTCCTACCATTATAAAAAAGATTGGTCGTTCAGATGAAATCATTTATTGACAAACAATACAAAACAAGACTAAGTTGTAAAAAGTCTTTTAGAAACTTTGTCTATCCGGTAAGATTGTTTTATTTTCCTTTCCTTTTTTGATCATTTAACATCACTGAACTTTGCGATAAATATGTGATGTTGATTTGGTTAGGCTGGAAAACAGTTAGTATTATGCTCTGTTTAATTTAGATTTCACCAAGATTTTGGAGAACCAATACTCTCCTTTTGGATTTGAGTAAGTCTTCTTCAGTACATTAACCAGAAATTTTACTACTAAGTTATCCACATTCTGACTGAACTCTAGTTGAAGTGGGATTTTTAAACTGATTGATCACTGAAAAGTAATGAACATCCATGTTTATCTAGTTCTTAGTATCCAATTTCGAGAAGTCATTGCAGAGTAATTTGTAAATATTACTTTTAAAATTTTCATATTTTAAACAGCCAACAACAGGAATTGTTACTCACATTTTCAATTCTAATCAAAACAGCTGAGTTCTGAGAAATCATCTTCTTACTTACCCCTCGAGAAGCATAGATCGTGTGTGCTTTCTAGTTTTCTTTTATACTTTTATCGACATTAATTTATATTGCTCTATGATAATCCTTCTTCATTTATTCTCACGATATATCTACGTCAATATGATTAAAACGTATATATTGTTTATGAAGTCTACCTTAACACTTTATAAGCTTCCAACGTAAAACTCAGCTCAGTATACTAAGCAGTTTCATTATACACACACATAGTTTCAGCTGTAGGCAAGCAAAAACAACAGTAATTAACAACCTTTGTAGAATGGTAGAATTAAAAGTCAGTCTGTAATTGGGTTGGTTTCGGAAAATATTATGCTTGCTTAGTACCAGTGACCTCGAAGTGGGATATTAATCAGAACTAAAGTCGATTCCAATTAGGTTGTATGTGACAACAGAGTAACATTCAGTTTACTATAATTTTTTGAGAAACAGCATTCTGTGAGGCTAAGATTCTTAACATCCCGGAAATCAGTGCTAGATAACAGCGGATGAAGTTATACTAAAAATTCAATACTATCAATCTAAACTGCTCATATTTAAAGTTGCAATATTCCTTCAAATTTATTGATCACCTGATAAATTTTTGTTCAAAGAAAATCTTTTATCACCATCAATTACCTGTAAACAAACGATTTTATCGACCAATACACCGATAATGTGTTTTACACTTAGCACCAATATCAATCAGATTTAAAAACGTCTGAAATCAAATTATCATACTGGTAACAATGTTTTATGAGAATGGTGTTGGAATTGTAGTACATCTCATATATATATATATATATAATGTTCTACAAGTCAACGGTTAAAGGCTTGTTCCTGGCTATATATAAATAGTGTGAGTTTTCTTACGTTTTCCCACTATTTCTTACATATTATATCATTAAACATTATTCTGAATGTAATCATCCTATTGTTTTATGTTTATTGAAGTAACGATCGCAAAGTTGGTTAATGCATCATCACCATCTCCGGGTTCCTACATTCTATAATATCATAAAGATATATATTGACGTGTTTTTCCTTATTAACGGGTTTTATATTCATTTTGTATTTATAATATACATCCATATATCTTTCATTTCCAATTTTTACCCTACGTCAATTTTATTCTAGATAAGGCATCGTAGTCCTTCCGAACAAGCAGGATTACGTGAAGGTGATCATGTATTGGCAATTAATGGTGTAGATGCATTGGATATGTCACATGCGCAAGCTGTACAAATCATTGATTTTGCATCCTATACATTAGAAATAATAGTAGGAAGGTAAGTGATGTTTCTTCCTATATTGAGATTTGAAAACTATTATTAAATGACTAAGTGTAAATCAATATATACTCGATTTTAAGCCACATTATCTGTAACAATCGGATGCCCAAATAGAAAATGGAGCTCATTGATCGAAATCTGGATTCCTTTCTAGTAAAATCACAGCTTTTCGGTAAGTCATCAATAGAGCTCTGAATTCGAGTTCCATACTTATCATTACTAATTACTGGGAGTTAAAAATTCATCGGTTGATTCCTCTACTATTAACACTGCTTGAATTATTTGATTAAACAGTTGATAACTTGTAATATTTGGTTAGAAATCTATTTATTATCTACACCATGCTAACAAACACTATAAAATGAAATTATTTAGATAACATTCTAAATGTGAGGATAATTAACATCTTTACAATATTCAGTAAAAGTGAAATTTCTAGCATATTTGAGGATTTTCCTGTTTATTTAGTGTGACAATATTGCATGAAAGAGTTCAGTTCTCCTCGATCTAATGTAGCAGCTTCTGTACTCCTATGTGAATGTATTCGAACTTTTCAATAGATATAAATAATTCCGATGACATGTGATGAACGAGTCATGTTTTATGTTGTCTTAGTAATCACATTCTTATCCTAAGTAACTGTGACCTTATTTGGATATATCTATTTTATTATTGTAGTCGTTAATTAAATGCATGCTCGTTTTGTGTGTTTTTCTATGTTTATATCTACATGCTGTTTTCCACTTTCATTATATTTGTAAAATTATATATAAACATATTAAAGGATTCGTATTTCAAGTTAGAGTCAACCTAAAAGGCTACTCTGTTGAGTATATATATCACTTATGTGAGATAATGAATCGATCATTGTTAGACTACCGCTGAAAACTAGGGAGCACTATACGGCCGTCTCGACCTTGTGTGAGACCCCTCAGCAGTGCGAGGCCGAAGGTTCTAGGTTCGAATCTCGCATGTGGTGTCGTGGATGCACATTACAGAAGAGTCTTCGAAGAAAAATTCACCCAGTACATCCAGGTTCCCAATGGTAGTCTAACAGTGATCGATTTATGATCTCAATCAAAAACTCAACAATCTCCACAACCTTATACTGATGGTCTCATATAATATTTTTATGGCAACGGTTCGTTTGAATTTTTGCGAATTCGCGCATTTTATCTTTATCTATTTCATTCATTTTTTTGTAAAGATATGAACGACATAAAAATTCAGAAACAGTCTATATGGATAACAAAGCTTTATTATCTAAACAAAAACCGCAAGAGATCACCACAACTGAATTACAGTTATTCTGGGAGAAAGATATGCCACTGAAACCAGCTCGTCGAAATTGGCCACCTCCACCAAAACCTGTACAAGAGTACAACATTCCACCTCAGCCAACATCAGTACAATCTAAACGTCCGCCATTAGTACAATCTCATTCAGTTTCAATACATGTACCTGCACAAAAACCAGCGGCTATTCCAACACCACCTCAAGTACAAACAGTACATATACCACCTCCAGTACGACAACCATCAATTGATCCACCTATTATACCTCATGATCCAGATGTTACAAGTGTTTCTGTGAAACAATTAATGCGAGAATTTGATGTGCCACCGATTGCACCAGAGCTTAAAAGTAAGTTATTTAGAAAAAAGAAACGTGTTTTTGCATGAATTGTGACAATCTACAAGAAATTTTAAATATTTCTAGGTATTATAACCACGGTTTGATTTGATCACTGATCATTAAGTGGGTTGTTAATAATAGAATTAATTATATATTTATAATATATCAGTTAGTAGAAAAAATAAATTTTATAATGTTTCGCAACTCAACGTTGGCGAATTCTTCAGAGAATAAATAAATAAACAAATGAGATTAACAAAATTTTAAATAGTACAAGCGAACAGTAAAAATATTCTATACAAACGATTGAAAGAAGAGTCTGATTAAGTTAGTGTCATGTCATTCCGATAAGTGTGATCAGATCTGTTTTGGGATTGATTGTACTAAAAAACTTTGCTTTGTTCCTTTGTACTACTTAACCCTTCCTTAATCAAATTTATTTATTTATTCTCTAAAGAGATCGGTAACACTGAGTTACGAAACATCACAAAATTTATTTTATTAACTCACTGCAATATTACAAATAAGCAGACTTCATGCCATTAATAGTTAATCAACTGTCCTAATGAAGAAGGAAGAAACCGTCCAAATAAATTTTACTTAATGGGCCTTAATGGACCTTTTTAAGTTTAAATTGATTTTCTGTTTGAAAAAATATCAGCCACAGAATCACTGAAGACCATGAAGCCCTGATTCACCCATTTCATCCAAGGATGAAAATGCGTTGTATGTTTTTCTGTTCATAATAAACTCGTCCACACATTTCATTCATTTTAATATTTCAAATATATGGAGACGGCTCCCGGTGAACTCAATAAAGCTCTATAAAGCTCTGAAAGAACCGAAGACATTCCATCCAATCACTGTTTGGAAGAACATTTCAGAATCTCAACGTGTAGTTTCCCGTCTGAACAAATACTAGAAACCACTGCATGCGGATTGGATGATTGTAATGAGGATTTCGCTTTTATTAAAAACGATGAATATCTGATTGTTTTGTACTATATTTGACACTGGAATAACATCCCATCTCACTCGTCTTCCGTCTCCTCACTTACGACTTGGAAGGTTCTCATGTTTGAGTTCTCAAGGCGTACGCGGTATAGCAAAGATTGAAGTGTTAGATACAACAGAATAAATTAAAATTAAATAAAATAATACTTAATGAGATCATTTTTAATTTCTCTGTTCACTGTCCTACATAGAAAAGAATTATGCTGATTCATCATTCTATTCTGATCCAACAAAATATTATCCAACAATTGAAGAACAAATTGAAATGGCAAGGAGAGTTGCGAATAGTTTACATGATCCATATAACTTTGAGTCAAAAGGTGCATGTATGTTTGAAAAACAAAGGCAACGAGCAGAAAAACACGTGAAAGAAGGTCCAGAACCTCAACCAGATCCTATTGAGTTGGTTAGTGACAATTTTTTGATAATATTTAGATTAAATAATTCCTAAATTGATAAGTGGAATGATAACTTAGTACACAGGACTCTTCGATTTTTAGCCACTAAGTAATATGTTTGCCTCGTAGCCAAGTATATGAATCGTCATTTGGCAAATCAGCTAATAGGGTTAAACATTACAACTACTATTATTAAATCACACAAACTGTTCTATACGTAGATTCAAAGCGAGAGTGTTATCATTTAAATTACTACTAAGGACGAATCCAGTGAACAGTATTTCTAATTTAAAACGATTCATGATATATAACAACTGTAATTATCAAAATTTGAAAAATTCATATATTGTGATTTAGAACAACATATATAAGCGAACAATATTGTCTCCGACTAGATCCTCACCAAGCTTTACTCTAATATACAGTTCGAATTAGGGCTAACAATCCAAGTCTTGGTGTTCATAAGAAATTTGTAACACCTTTATCTCTTTCATGTCCTGTGCGAGTTTATTTATGTTGCATCTAGCATTCTAAAGCACTTTTTCGATCATCTGTTGAGTGAGTGCTGGGATATTAGAGCACAATTTCCATTTGAGAGTATAATTCAAATCCTAATTTATGTTATATTTGTGGTTTTTTCTCTGAGTGTTGATCCGCTGTACACTAATGTGGTAATATCAGGCAGTTTCAGCTAATTCTAGAGGCTTAAATTAAATCGTTGATGGAAATTACACTCAATTATGCAGCATTCATTCATTAAAGGAACTGAAATTTATCAGCAATTACTTGATATTATTATGCTTATTGAAAATATTGTGAATAATCGCAGTCAAATATTACGTTGTAGAATAATATATAAGAACTTTAATGATTCAAATGCTTTAGAACCTAAGTTGAGAAGAGAGCGAGAGAGAGACCATTAATTAACAAATAGAATAAAAGGAATCAATGAGAACATTTAGGCCTATAGTAACGAAAATCTCAACAAGCCAGGCATAATGAAACAAACTGGGACTGAAAATAAACTGTAAATTTTAAGCTAATATTAAACTAATTGACACCCTAAACACATAATCAATAGATATTGAATTTTCACAGATTGAAATCATGAGTCAGTTGAAGCTAGACCACCATTGAAAACCTGGAAGCACTGGACGGCCGTTTCGTCCTAGTATGGGACTCCTCAGCATTGACTCCTCAGATATTGAATTATTATGATTGTAATTGTACAAATACAAATACTCGGTTCACTTATCTTTAGTTATTTTAGTAACATCATGTATATACTTGGTAAATAATTACAGAATACACATCAGTTTACAGGTCAATCAGACTGATGCATAAGGAATGTAACATTAAAAAGACACAGTCAAATTATTCTGACCGAATATTTGTCGTAAAGGTATTAAGAATAAGAAGTATATGATGCAAGTGAAATATATAATTACAAGTGTTAACATTTTAGGGTATACCATTATCATTGGGTCATAGTTATCAGTCCTATAAGCACAGAATTGACTTTAATAAAACGAATAAGAAGGACAATGAATATGTAAAGAAATTGGCATAGTTATACCGTGATGAGAGTGTTGGAATGACACTGCATAGGGTGTGAGATCTATGGAAAGTATTTTCTTGGAATGTCATATTTGCAAATGAATAATACAGTGAACGTTTACGAGTCTACAACTAGAAGCAAGAAAACGAAAATAGATTACATGCAACAGCAATGAGAATTCATGTGATAAGTCTATTGTTATGATCTATTGTTTCATGCCCTACTGTCTTGAGTACATTTTGTTGAAAATAAGCAAGCATCCTATGTACATCCTTAGACTCACGAAGTGAATGATGTAATTAAGAAAAGGTTTAAGATTACCCATGTGGAGTAAGGATTAGCGAAAAAAATTCTAAAACGAAAGCAAGTTTAATAAACATACTCGATAATAGCAGTAATACCAGATTTAAAGTCGTTATAATTTCATTAAAGAAGTGAGATGTATTCTCAGGAGTAACTAAATGTAAGGTAATCTCAGAGGTGAGTTAATCATCGGTGTATTGTAAAAAACAAGGATATTAATTTTATTTACATGGATAGACTGTAACAACTAGTTCCAGACTGTTGAAAAACTGGTTTTAAGTAAAATTCATCTACGTTTATAAATTTAACCATAGATCAAATAAATATTTAATAATTATCGATCAGTTTTTTACAATTATATTCTAAGGCAAGTCCTGAAGAGTTGGAATATATGTCACCTCCTGAAGCACCTCCACCCCCGCCTCCACCACCACCAAGTTTTCCTGGACTTCAACCAACTAAAAAGCCGGTGGTTCCTCCACCCCCACCTATGACATTTGCACCAGGTCAGCCTAAAACAGTACAAGAATTTTTAGAGAAAATTAAAATATTCCCTAAAAATTTGCACACAGATTTAGATCCACAAAAATGTTTCGATATTGCTACAGCTTTATATACATCCGATAGTCGTGGTGCTAAAATGTTTGCTAAACGTCATGCTAGAGCAGTAAAATGGGATGCCCAAAATCCAGAAGATGGTGATGAGTCAGGGAATAGAATGAATGTAACAGTAGCATCTGGTCCTGGACCAACTATACGTAGTCATGACCAATTAAAAGTGCTTTCGAAACTTCCACAATCAAAAACACAACAACAACTTCAAATGAAGCAGAGACAACAGCAAGCTCCTGTAAAGCAAAATAATAATAATAATAATAATAATAATAGTAATAATGGAGAGTTGGACGCATATAGAAAGTCATCAATTTCATTAGCTACGAATAGTTCGGTAACTACACCAACACCTTTGGACAATTTGATTGGTCCCACACCAAAGCCATTTATACCAATGAGTTCAAACAACAGTAAGTTGTGTAATGTGTTTCTAGAATAATTGATCAGTAAAAATGAAATAAAACTTGTTTGTATAAACCTTAAAAATTCATAACTTCAAATGGATCACTGTCTATTTAAAACACCTTGGTATGTATAATAAGTTACTTCCTGCGTATTTTGCTAAAAACAAAAATTAACCTGAAGATATTAAATGGTTGGAAATATTCTATAACACACCTTATACGTACGTTTTGTGCTAGATGGTACGCAACAGCAACGCCTGTTTATTATCTTGTAGAAACTCATACTCTTTAAGGGATTTGAACATGTATCACTATTTTCCACAGTAAGAGATGTTATTACGCAATATTTCAACATGGCGTAAGTGATGTCCAGTTACTTAAACTAGTGATCATACTGAAACTTAGTCGATTGAATTCAATCTGTATTAATCTGCTAAATGTACATAAAATTGGCTACTACTCAATGATGCGTCAGTTGTAAATTAACCTGGTGACCATCTTCGCCTACTAGACTGTCAGGTATAAATTTAGTAACTCATAGAATAGTACAGTGAAATATATATTCACTATTTCTGGGTATGTATATACATATGTATGTAATTAACGATTTATAGTTTGATCGGTTGCACACATTTTTACTCCTTTAATCATTAAATCAAATACATAGTATTTCAGTAACTCCAATAACTAATTATATAAAGTGTATTAATTAATTTTATAATTAACTTTACACACTGGATTAAATCTGCTATGAATAGTTGTGAAGAGTTAACAACCACTTAATAGAAATTTTCTAGTTTTTTTGATTGAATACAATAGGAACTGTTCATTGTATTCACTCTATGTAGTTTACTTATTATTTGAATGACTTCGCTAATTAATAACTTTATTGAATATAAAAAGGGAAATTTACAATTACCTTAGCTACATTCATACAAATATCGCTACTTAATGAATTGTAAGAAAAAATGTCTTCCTGTAGTTAAAGTCCATTTTAATTTTAGTTCTAAACGTAAATAAATTGAGAATGAGAGTGAATAAATAGTTCAATGTTACCAGGTTAATTAGTTAATAAGTTAGTTAGTATTCTGATTAGTAATCTGATAGTCAACAATGAAAATTCGTTACTAAACAAAGTTTTTGTAGAAAGATGAACTTATCGCGTCTATCATAAGACGTACAGGTCATACATTCACTCATTGGCTAGACCGTAGTCATACGATATGAATGAGACTATTAAGATTACACATTTGATCGATGTATTGAGGAGAGATTCGGCAATAAAAGTCTTCTTTATAATTTCTCCAACTCAGCGTTTACTATTTTGGCTTTCACTAGTTTTATAAGCCTCGATTGTTCATATGATTTGACTGATAAAGTCAACCTTGAGCTTGGGAAAACTCAATCCTCATCGGTTGAGAACATCTTCCTTCCTTCTATTATCAGCCCTGTGTCCGAATAAGAGAATAAGGGAAGGCAGCATTTAAATATTTAGTATCATGTTACATATACTAAGTATCTCCATCTCAAGCACATTAGTTTATATACATGAATTACGAGAACCCAATACACCCTAAATAAGGAATTATACTTATTAAGGCGTGTGTTCCAGCCAGATCAGTTGATAAAGCATTATCTGATGTGGCCTTCAGGTATTTTTGGAAAGGATTCCACGTTTTTAAGGTCCAGAAACCCACCGTGTGGATGTTATTTAGTACGGAACCGGAGCCACGCAGGTCTTTCGGTAAAGGGATTTTTTGAAGTTCTTACTTACCTTAGATTGGTATAGTCTACATGCATACTAGGTAACACACAGACTTTTATTCGAGTGTTTATTGGTATACATACAGGTATACTTACTCTGTAAACAAATACACGTTGTATGCACGCCGGTAACACAGGTTTTATCCCATGCATCCCATAGCATACATATAGGTATACTCACCCACTCAGAAGGGTAGATGTTCACCGCTCCCTTTGAAACGTATTTGCTACAGCAAACTGTCTTTTACACATTACATTCAGCCCATAGCTACCGCCCCAGTACTTCTTGACACATACATAAGCATAAGCATTCTCTAAGGGGAGGTTGTTTGTTACCTCTTCATAGTGTGCGGTAGCATATCTCTTTATTATATCTTCGACCTGATAGATTAGGTGGCTGATTTTATTAGACACAGGGGTAGACAATATTTCAGCCATTATTTCCATTGTACGACACCACATGCATAATCTTTCCATACGTCTACATATATGAACTACATAAGCCCGAAGACTTCTGCAATTCATATACATAAGTACACACATCAGGTGCGGTTCAGTGAACCTCTAGTTGGAACCCGGGTAAGCAAAGTCACGACAGAGTGATTGATTATTCCGATTTCCATCAACTGCTTAAGTTTGTTATCAAGGTTTTTCCTGCTATTCAGTATTGCTACGAGAAAGCCTTAGGTCTGATTTTGTTGCCCAAGTTTTACATACAATCATAATATACGTGAAAGAGAACGAAGCAAACGGTGAATAATTGATCAACTCCAGTATTACTCAATTATTATAGATATTATTACGTCATTGTGAATTTATTGACAGGTATAAACGAATAACACAATATCCAAAATGACAAGTCCACTGTTTTGTATTATACATTGATTCTATTAATCGCTAGTTGTTAAGTTTTAGCTAATTTGACATAAATGAATAATTCGAATGATTTTGTTTTATTTTATATTCCTTCCAAAAATGATAATGTAGATACACCCTTTGGACAAATGAATAACAATTCTAATATTACTAATGTTAATAATAGTAATAATAATAGTAATACGATCGAAGCAAACCGTCTAAATAATCCAAGTGAATCTGGTTGGAGACCAGTGAAATTTCGAATTGGACAAACTGCAAATTAAATTAATCGTTTGTTTTAGTTTTTGTCAAAAAATCAAGTTAACAGGGAATAGAGTTATTTTATGCAACATTTTATCATTTCTATATACACACAGATAGATAGACTTAATAATAATTTGCTACGTGGTTATCATTAATGCTTACATTGCTATTATCAATATACAACGATATTAGTACCGTAATAATAATTATGCATTGTTAGTTTTCTGTTTATGCCTTGCATATTTTTTAGTCAAAATAACCTGTTCATCGTTTTATCCATACCCTAATGAGTATTTATGAGATATGTATAACACATCTATTCTCTATTGTGTAACATGTGTGTGAGTATGTATCTCTATGTCCTATTTATTCATTAACGTTTTTCATTTGGACTTAAAGATAAACCATAACCTTTTTGTATCGTACACAATCATTATTACCTTGACGTCAGTCAGTATAATTTACATCTATGCTATAAAAAGATTGACAAAAATGTACAGAACACAATCCTTAAAAGTTTTGAATATAATTTTTTAAAAAAAAACCCAATGAATTAAATTATAAGATAGCAAGAAGCATTGAAACATGAAATATACATTATGAACTATCGGCTAAAAGCTCAATCTTTTAGAATATATTTATTCGTCTATATTTAACCTATTACACATTAGGGAATATAGGAGCATTTCGTATTTTCAGTTAAACTAATCAACTCAATGTTCAACAGATTGGGTAAAACATAGAATAAATGAAAAACTGTCAGAAGGTATATATAACAGCTATTCTTTAATCTATAACCGGCTGCAATAAGTATTATCCTTGCTTAGTTTATTTCCTGCACTTATTTTCAGCTGCTTATCTACCCAGCCCATATACTTACACAAATAACTACTTGCTCATACTACCTACTACTCTCTCTCTCATTCTTTCTTCATATTTTCTTACTTATCTGTCATATTCTTCACTTCTGACAGAGTTTAATACCCTTTAATCTAATCTTGTTATATTATTGAGTATTTTGACTGTTTTGTTAGAATGTATAACAATTGATTTGAGTTAATAATCTTATTAAAAGTTTTATTTCATTTCTACGCTACTCATTTCACTATTTGGTATTCCTGTAATTTGAATACAAAGATTTTTAAACAAGAGAATAGATAATACCCAGCTATTCTATGTTGTGCTTTTTTTCTCATGATTAAACAAAGAAACATTGTTTTTCTAAACATGAGAGAGATGAAATGTTAATTATGTAGGTAACCTGACAGATTTCAAGTGCATGTCGCCTAAGCATAGTCAAATAAATTGACATAGAATATACCAGTATATTGTTACACTTGAATATCATAAACATACTGTAACAAGATGTCTCGATAAGTACAAGATAAACTGAAAACTTTATTATCTTGTTGCTTACCAATCTACAAGTAAATAGTATTTACCAACTTATAAATAATAACCTATTTCGGACTGATAAGACATTAGTCTAAATTATGTATGATATATGCTGTTCAATGCCATACAACTTTTCTATTTGCGGTTGAAAAAATTCTTTCATTTGGAAGTAAAAAGATGACGTAGACCGGCTAACACTGGACATTATGATCGTGAAATTTATCTAAACTAATGAATGTATTATTATAGTAACTAATTAAATTCAGACAAACATTAAAATTGTATAAGATTATACTAGATTTGCTGGCGAGAACATAACATATGGACGACCCAACGAAATTGGAAATGTGATGTATTTGTGCTATACAATTCGAACAATCTGGTCACACATATACTTGTCAGGGCATTGTATATGAAAATTAATAAAGGTCAATTAAATGAAAGCTCAAGTCAAAAAGTTAACAAAGGGGAGAGAAACAACTTGACATCATGTAAAACGAATAAGAAATTGTCGCATAATCCTAGGCCGTAGAATGATTTAATGATTACCAGGGTAAATCCAAGGTTACGACAAATTAGTTTTGTACACATAAGGGGGATTTAAATTTACGAATAGCCAAGGCGTCAATAAACCTAAGAATTTATCCTTGACAATTTCTAAACAGTGTAAAAGGAAGGACACAATTGTATGTAGAATAACATTTTATCTCCAGGCTTCCTATCAGTTGCTAATGACCTAAATTTACATTAGTGATATTATTCTAAAAAAGATTTTTTTTATGACATACCAATGAAGTTTGGTTCAAAACGAGATAAGTAATAAGAGGACACAAAATATGTTATAGATCAGTTAACATTTATAAGTATTTATATGTTGAAAGTGCAGCTATAAAAAGAAGGCGATTGAAGGTGTAGGTGACAACAACAAAAAGATGATAAATGAATGAAAACAACTTGTTAACAACTGAGTGGTAATCATGGTATTTAGTTGGCATAATATTAAATTTAAACCATGAGTGCATATCAGTGGAATTTTTTTTAAGTTATAAAGTACAATAAAGAAGTAAATTGATTGACAATGTAACTATCTTATCAATGGCAATAAGAGGTTTACTGCAAATTTCTTTCTGTATACAATGATCAGATCGAAAGAATTTGATGAAAATGATCTTTGAAAAAAATGGAGTAAAAGTGGCGTTTGCTGCTTGTCAATTGTTTTAATTGATTTTGAGATATCTACATCGTGTTCACTGTACATTATATTTAGTGAACACAATTTACAAGGAATATGTAAGGAAAACCTTTTAGATACCCTTCTTCTAGTCCTTCCCATATACGTGCTTCCACAAGAACACTTAAGTTCGTAAATAGATGCGAAGGTGACATCTGGAGGGTATCGATCAACTATCTATTGGTTTAAGGAATATCTATTGTTATACACCAAAAATAGTTGAGTTGCAAGGAAGCTTCAATATTAATACGCTGTTGTCTTTTACACGATGCAGCCTTTTGTAAAGCTAATTGCAGTAAAGATAACAAGGACTTTGACAAATATTATGGAAAACTTCACCACGGAACATAAGCTTAAAGATTGATAGAATTGCAAATGATCCTACAGAAAGGTAGGTAAAGTTTCATTCTTTGAACTACGTGGTTTAATCGCGAAGCTTTCTTCAACAATCTGGAGAAAATCATCAGCACTAATTTCATATAGAGATGATATAACCAGATTTTACCAGGTTATTGATAACCTCTACTGACGACCGTGATGTTGATTGGTTGTTATTGGCTCTTGTCTTATTGATTGCCATTCTCTTCGACCTGATTTGCTGACATGATAAATGTCCATGATTTTTCTAATTGGTTGATTAGTTGGGTTGATTTCGATATGTTTATTGACTGACCCAAGTCCCAAGCCTCTACAATTCTCTTTGGTAAATATTACGACACTTCACAGTCAACTGTATCGATAACTGTCTAAGTGTATTGATTTGAAAGAGGATATATCGTGGGATTTGACAGCTAGTTGGTGCTAAAATACTCGCAAATCTGTTCAACTTATATTTTGTATTAAAATCATTACTAAAATTACACTTCTATTATTGAAGCACGTTTAATTATATATCTATTTTTATATTTCTTTCTAGAGCATTATACAGAAACCTATGAACCCATAACTTAGTTAAAGGGTGGGGAACAATTAGGCTCTAGCTAACTATTTTTAAAACTCCGCCTTGAGTCCCTCCGGGGGCTACTGCCGCTCCCAAGCCCGGATAAAGGAGGAGGGTTGGGCATGGAGTTAACGACCCCATCCCGTAGAAAACTAACTCGCTAAAAAAACGCTAATCAGAAAGTAACTATTTTTAATCCATGATGTATAAAACAATAAAAGATGTTGGTTACGGAGTAAATTGAATTAAGGCAATACGATAAGACGACTGCAAAATATTGATTTGTTTAGAGGGAAGATAATATGCGATTTATGATATGAAATAAGACCTAACTAGTGTAAAAGAAAATCAGGAAGGAACCTAAAAAATAGAATGAATAATTACTTATCATTTAAATGTTTGTTTAACTGACTCCATAATACGTCATGGAACTAATGTACAACTTAAATTAGGGAGTGTATGGCCACAAGGGGTGCCTATATCCGAAGTAAAAAGAATGGGAGCCACAAAAATGATTTTTTATACACACGTTACTTCGATTTCACGAAAGGGAAACCGATGATAGACATCTAAAAAATTAGTAAGCATGTTTAGAGGTTATTTCACTTATATCTGACTCCAATAAATAATATCCTGTTGAGTGTTTATGTAAGCCAAATCTCCTAGCAGTATTACGAATTTACTCGAGATTATTCAAAAGCTAAAACATCAGTTGTAGGGATAGTATATGGTCAAGAATTCATAAAATTCGTAAACACACAAAGAGGCGAGTGCGAGAGAGTGTTTATGAGTGCAAAAGAATCTATATATGTTTATGAATGTTAATCGATTGTGGATAAATTGTTGATTGCCTGTGTTTATAACCAATGGGAGAATAGAAAAAGATGGATGTGCAGACATGAGTCCAATAAGACTTACAAATAATTTTACATAGTTGGTCAATTGTTTGAATTACAGCAAGTAGACAAATAATGAAGTAGTTCAATAGGCCTACTATACATGTAAAATCGGCTGCAATTAAACTCAACTCTATTTCGTAATTTTAGCAGTCTACTTAGCGACCAATCAGAAAGAAGCGAGAATTATCATTTTTGTCATCTTGATAAACAGTGGTGGTCGGCTTGCTTCGTTTTGCTTGTTTTATGGTGTAGCTGCGTAATTTAATAATTTAATGTGCTGAAATTCCCCAATTTACGTAGTATTCCAAGTGTTGGGGCTAATTCGTCTGATTTCGTTATGTTTTCAGTTTTTGCTGCTGCTACTCGAGTCCGTGTATTATTTTAGGTAAGCTCGACTGTTTTATGTGGCAAAATGTTAATCGTTTTTGTTCTGAGTTCTATTTTATAGATATCGGAAACCAGAGTTAGTTTTTTAGTTACAATAAATGTTGCTGCCGCCTGGAATTCTCTAACTGTGCGCAAGTTCGTTCCGAATTGTCATGTATGATGTTATCA